TTTTCTTTTTGGGGTTTTTTTTTTTTTTTTTTTTTTTTTTTTTTTCTTGGATGCTTTTGATTTTTGTGATATTTTCAGGTCAAGCACAAAGGTCTTAGTAAAGAAATTCTATGAAACTTGAGACAATTAGCTTGCCTGTTCCCGGGCAATTCCAGGTCACCGTACAATGGTTGGTCTGTGCTTCGGGCCCTTCTTTTTTTTTTTTTTTTTTTTTTTAAGTTTTTTTTTTTTTTTTTTTTTTTAAGAATTGTTTTTTATTTTCACTTTATCTATTTATTTATTTACTTATTTATTTTAATTTGACCAGAGAGGGACAGACTGAGAGAGAGAGAGGGAAAGTGAGAAAGCAAGCCACCAGGTCCAGGAAAGCAAACGGTAGACAGCCTGTGGGAGTCCAGGTCTTTAACCACCATGCCATCTGCCAGCCCCCCGTGTCCTTCTTAGATGACTCACAGAAGGGGACACATAGACAACTGCTGGGGCCCTAGACTGGCCATCGCCATCACAAGCAGCCACGCCACCACAAAGCATAGCAGCCTTGTGAGTGGCTAGTGAGAAGACAGGGACAGGCTGGTAGCAGGTGAGGACAGGGAGTCTTCAGGCAGAGTGAGTCTGGCTGAGCCTGAGAGAAGGCGGGGAGTCGCCTGAGGAGTGGAAGGAGGAGAAGGCATCCGCGAGGTGTGGGACAGGGTGTCTGACAACACCTGGGTAGGGATGCGGCCTCCAGGGAAGTGGCCCAGCTTCCCCATGCCTACACGCAAATCTTTTTTTTTTGCCAGAGTTCATGTGCATTCACCAGACAGACAGACATTCCCAATGGGAAATGGCCACATGACAATCCCTTCTCCTCCATCTCTCCCCCCTTTCGGGATTTTGCGCACACCCGTACGTGCCAGGCATGTTTCCAAGCCACTGGGCCCAGGACTTGAGCAGTAGTAGGCCTGTGGGACCCAGCTCCCTTAGCCGCTCGGCTGCAGGGCCAGCTCTGTCTGACGGTCAGCAGCAGCAGTAAGAGTCCGAGCATTACTGCTGTCAATCCTTCGGGGCCATTGCTACTGACTCAGGAGCTTCTTACAACCGAAATGGAATGCTCCTTCAAATTTAACCCCTTTCTACTTTTTAAAATTTCTGTCTTTTTTTAAGTTTTCTATAGGATACATGTGCTTACCGGGAAGAGGCAGAGAGAGGAGAGAGAGAGAAGAATGGAAAATGAGAAAGCGCCCACCCCCGAGAGGCTGTGGCCACACTGCAATCCACTTTCCTCGTGGGATTCTGGGAAAGCATATGCACCCGGCGCGTTGAGTCGCTGATCCAGGCCTCAAACTGCACGGTCGGTCATGTGGGATCCAGCGTCTTCACCTCCACTCCACCGGCTGTGGGCCCACCTCAATTCTGCTTTGTACATTTCCCTGTGGTGACCCTGATTTAACTCTGCCTTGTACTTGGCAGTGTTGATACGAATTTTCAAATTTTCGTGATCCCTACCACTAGCAAGGAGGTGTTTATGTTTGGCTGAGTTGAGAAACCTGGTGACTATTGTGACACGTAGATTTACTCACCCACGGCAGGAAGCCGAATTCAAGTGGGGCAGGAAGTAAGGGCGGCAGGGAGCGGGCTGGTACTCATTCCAGAAAGCTTCAGTCTTCAGAACCCTGGAAGCAAGGGAAATCTGAGCCACTGCGGAATTCGGGAGGAATACTGGCTCTTACTTTAGTGCTCTGACGCAGACATTCAGGAGCTCCTCGCCCGAACAGTGCAGTCCCCAGGTCCACTCTACTGTGGAGCGCGTATTCGGTCACTCTCATTCACTCAACGGAACTTCTGTTTGGTTTATTATGTCCTAGCCCTGGATCGGGTGGGCCCTGCTCCATGGAGCGTAGAGCCCGGGCTCCCAGCTCCTTCCTCTACTGCATTTTTGTGACGTGGCCCCTCGTTTTGCAGCGCCCCACCTCTCAGCCCGACTTTATTTCACAGCTGAGAAGTAAGGCGCCTGCACCACAGCCCCACGTTAGAGGACTCCTCTAGCCACTGCGAGAGCTCCCTGCACCTGCTGTCCCATCTGCGTCACCCGATCTGGAATCAACCCCAGTTCTAGGACTCGGCCACGTGTTCTCAGGCCAGTTGCCTAACCTCTGTGGGACTACTCCACCCCCTGTGAAATGGACAAAACCACCCCTACGTTACAGGATGGTTTTGGGAACCAAATGTGTCACCCAGGTACAGCCTGGGACATCGCTGGGACAAAGCAAGCAGGACTAAGGACGTGGGCCAGCAGGGGACAGTTCAGTGTAGGTATTTCTTTCCATTTTGCCTCTGTCCGGTCATGCAGCATCACTGTAGAACTTTGGCTTCCCGACGAACACACTTGGGCCTCAGTGTTCAGTGCCTCCGTTCGACAGCACCAATGTTATCGGCCTCTGTGCCAACCACATGCCAGGCACGGAGGATCTAAAAACAAGTGCGACCCGATCTCTGTATTCGGGAAGGGCACATTCGGGCCACGGCATGGACATGCAAACAGATAAACCAGAGCCTGGCAGGACGAGTAGGGGAAGGCAGGGCGCTATGGAGCCTGGAGTGCTCGGAATGCCCAGAGGGACACGGGCACTCAGCAGTGGAGCAGAGGGGCTGGCGGGAGCAGGGACACTCCCTGGGAAGACGGCAGAGCACAGCTTGGCAAGGGACTGCAAGCAGCAAGCTCACACCACACCAATGGCTCCAAACACTCCCTGCTTCTTTCCCCAGTCTGACGGCAAACCCCGACTTCAGACTTTAGATCTGGCAAGGCGAGAAAGCACGGAAGTTTAAACTGAGGGAGAGAAGAAAAAGAAAGAGGAGAAAGGGAGACGCCCTTTATTTGCAGGCTGTGGTCCTTATTCCTGCCCTCCGGTTATCTGCTGTCTCTGAGGCACTAAACAGTCACCTCCTCACTGAGACGAAGAGAAACTGACACAGAGTGGAAATACGCAGCTCGCAGCCGCGTGCAGCTTGCAGCCGCGTGCACACGTGAACGGGGCCGTCAGCAACACCTGCACTTGCCGAGGAAACTACAGGCCATTTTCAGAGCCTGCAAGCCACAGACTCACACAAAGCGTGGGTCATTCAGGGGGGCGGCACCCCCACTCCTGGGCTGCCTCACCACAGCTACTTCCTGGAGCAGTTTCTCAGGTTCGGCCTGAGAAGTACAGTGGCTCCTGCCTCATACACAGGGGAAAAGTTGAGTGATGAAACTGACCAAATTTGACTTGAAAATGTCACCGCTTCTTTGTGAAGAGTCTTTACAGATGCTTCTGACAGCACTCAGAATACTGCCCCCCTCTCTAGATCCACCCCAAACTGGGCTACACTCATAGCTTCAAAAGACTCGTTTTTGCAAAAAGGAGTGACATGAAGGTGCTTCCATCCGAAAGTCTGACAAGGAATTTATAAAATTTTATTGTTACTTCATCAAAGTGGACTTTCCAGAACTCAGAGAAGCCCAAACTTCAGGGTCCAGCACTTGCATGGCTGACCCAAGGCCCCATACCTGGTCTTGTTTGTCCGTTTTGTTTTTGCCATAAGTCATGTGTGCTTATCAGAGAGAGACACAGAGAGGCACAGGGAGAGGGAGAAATCACCCCCCTGCGAGGATGGGCACACTGCAATCCCTTCTCCTCCCTCCTCTCGGGATCTGAGACACACACTCACACATGCCTGGCATGATTTTTAAGCCTCTGGATTTTCAAGTCTCAGGAATTTGAACAGTGGTCAGCCATGCAAGAGTCCAGTGCCTTAGCCACTATGCTAACAAGTGGCCCCTTCATTCATTTTCTTAAAGTCCCCACAAGTCGTGTAAGCTTCAGGTCCCTCAGAACTCTGTACTTAACACCCAAAGGGGCTTGAAGGGAGGCTCGGGACCCACTGGAGGCAGGACAAAGCCGGACAGGCTCACCAGCACGGCATCTGGAGGTCGCTGCAGCTCGCCGAGGGTCCTAGGTGCTTTCTTACTAAGTTTTTATTCAAGTAACTTCCTGCCACCAAGAGGACTCGAGCAAAGCTATTTTAGAATCAGAGTGAAACACTGAAATAGCGATTTATGGTTTTCATGGCTTAAAATCAACCTCTTTTTATAGAATGCCAACAAAATGAGAATTAATACCGTCACAGGCAGTACTCATAGCTGCCGTGAGCTTTCTGCTGTGCCGACAGCTGCTATTTATATCGCACTCGTTCTGGGTCAGACCGTGTAACAAGCATTTTACATATCTAATCTCAATTCCCGCTGTGACATGAAGTTTCCATCCCACAGCTGAAGAGAGCGAGCCGGGGAAGGTTCAGTCACTCACCTGCAGTTACACACTGCAGGGAGTGTTTAACTCCCAGACCTTATGCTTTGTTCAGGTGGAGAAGTTAAGAAGTTAGAATCTTGGCTGAAAAATTTTTTCTTCCCCAAGTCCAATTTCTTAATTGAGCCTTGCTATCTAATGTGCATTTGCCTCGTATAATGTCACTCTTACAGAGACATTTGTTTGGAGGTTAAGAAATCTTAATGAAAAGAAGTTTAAATCAGACCCTAGCATACATCATTTTTTTATTCGAAAATTATATTCTGTTCCCCTTGCAGATTGGAGATTATGTGTGATCAAAACATAATGTGAACCCCGCACGAAAACGATGCGGAGGTGAGGTAGTAACTCGTTGACTAGCTAGATAGAGCCATTCCACAATGTATATATATATATATATGCTTCCACATGCCATGCTATCGTGATTCATGCAATTTTATGTCAACTACAAAATAAATATGTAAATTTTAAAAATCACTCAATCTGATAATAAAGTTGATTCAGAGCAAAACCATAATAAACTACATGTATAAAAATTTACATTTACAAAGAAGTTAAATAACTCTTTCCTACCTTAAAAAAAAATAAACACACCATACAGCTTTGAATAGCGTTCTTTTGTTTTGTTTTGTTTTGAACTAACTCTGAAGTTACCTCTTCCATACCCTTTAAGTCATTCTTGCCTTATATTTAAATAAATGATATTTAACTAAATTAGGAGTCATTCTTTATCGCTTTTCCCCCCACATTTTCCAAAGCATCGATTTAATAAAATTACAATGACTGTTACCTTTACCTGTCCCTTCCCCAGAACAACCAGTGCTAGCTTTGGGCACACCAACGACTGGTCTCTGAGACACATCCTACCTGGCGTCTGCCTGGAGAGTAGAGATGAGAGCCGCGTGGAGAAAAGGAAGTCCCTTCTTGTCAGAATAGCTGACGCATTTCTCTTTCCTTCCTGCCTGCCCGGGCTGGAGCGGTGCACCCAAACGTGGCCAGCTGAGTGCCTCTGTGGCTAATCCCCCTGCCACGGACCAGAGAGCAAAGTCACCCCAAAACCACACCAAGGAGCTCTTGGGTGTCAGCATTTAGCATTTTTTGCTGCAGGAAAGACCAAGCTGATGCTAGTACAATGCTTCATCCTTCCCAAGGAAACCCCCCCCGAGAGTAGGACCTTCAAATATACAAATGGTCCCCGCTAACACGGCATTTCACATTGACCTCAAATGTAGACAACTGACTACATCGCAAAGAACAGTTGCAATCAAGACTCCATTTATAAAAGACTGTCGTGGATTCGGGGAGTACATTTCTTTGAATTTCAGCATACAGACAGAACATCACACAAATCATAAGCGCAGCAGTGCTATGGTTTGAACGTTTGTCACCTCCAAACTGATGTTGCAATTAAATGGCCATTGTTGTAAGTATTAACAGTATTGGGAGGTAGGGTCTGTAAAAGGGGATTAGGCCATGAGGACTGCCCTCGAGAACGGATCGATGCCATTAGCATGAGTGTGGGCTCCTCATGGAGGATGAGTTCAGCCCCCTTGTCTGTCTCTCTCTTTCACCCTGTCTTTGTCCTTCTGACGTGTTATGAGACAGCAAGAAGGCTCTCACCCTGATCCTGGACTTCCCAGCCTCTCTGAGTATAAGAAATAAGTTTCTGTTCCCTATAAATTACCCAGTGGGTGGTGCTGTTACTGCAGCCCAACATGGACTAGAACACACACCTCTGTAACTGTCCCCAAAGTGAACGCATCTCTATCGAGAAACAGAACATACACAGCATCCTGAAGTCCCCTCCTCCCTTCTCCTGTGATGACCTTCCTCCCGAGGGTAGTAGCTATTATCATGACCCCTAACATTTTAGTTAGCTTTCCTGTTTTTAAACTTGATATAAATGGAATCGTATATTAACTCTTATGTGCCTGGCTTCTTTGGCTCAGTCACGTTTGTGAGAGTCGTGCTCACTTTTGCATGTGATTCTAGTTTCTTTCATTCTCTTTGCTGGGTTATACTTTATAGTATGCACACAACAGTGATCTAGTGTACCGTTAACAGACGCTTGTGTTACTTTTCTTTTTTGTCTAGTATGGTTAGTGCTGCCACACACATTTCCGTATGGTCCCTTGTGTGAACATGTGCACACGTTCCTGTTGGGTGAATTGCTGGCCATAGGTTAGGAATAAGCACATCTTCAGCAGGTGCTGCCAAACGGTGTTCCCAAGCAGTGATGCCGACGTACCCTCCTGCCAGCTACAAGGTTCAGTGCTCGCCCACACTGATACTATCTGCCTTTCTCATTTTATGCAGTCAGGTGGGTGTGTTGTGGTTGGTATTGTGTCCTGTGTTTAATGTGCATTTCCTCGTTGCACAGCATTGCTGAGGAACTTGGGCATCATTCTATGCTTACCAGTCATTTGTGTAACTATGGAGTCGTCAGAAAAGACATGATGTCATTTTCTATGTTTCTCAGTGCAAAAATGCATCATGACTTTGCTGATGACCCAATTCAAGTCTTTTGCCTGGTATGTAGCCAGATTATCTACCTCTCTCTTATGGATTTGTAGACATTTTTTATATATTCAGGACAGGAGCCTGTTGCCGGGAGGGAGAGAGGGATATTACAGATATCTTTCCCCACTCTGGGAGATTGGTTTTCATCCCCTCAATGGGTCCTTTTGAGGGTGGCAGACTCACTGAGAGTGAGCTAGAGTGAGCTCTTGTTGAGAGAGTATGATTTTTGAGAACTCTGAGAGACTACCAGCTAGCTGGTGACTAAGAAGGTGCACACTGAGGCCCTGGGGGTCACTAGAACCCTCTGAGCCCTCCTGGGCCTCAGGTTCCCCACCTGTAAATGAGATTCACTTTGCTCATCCCTTTAGTTCTTGGATTCTGAAATCTCAATGTTCCGCGGCCTGAGGATGATGATGTGAGATGGGAATTTCATGAGGTGAGGAGCAGGGAGTGGTGGGGAAGACATGGGCTGCTGAGGGCTGGAATGACGAGAAGGAAGAAGACTTCAAGATCAGTGTGGCAGATCTCAGTGGCCTTGAGGAAACCACTCAGCCCTCCCGAGCCTATTTCCTGGGGATGGTCACAAGGCTTCCCTATTAGTTTTATAGTTCATTCAAATTATTCACAAATATTTACTGTGTATTCGTTTTATGTCAGCCACTGTCGTTGTGATCATATATCGAGGTAAATCCTCAATAAATAGTAATCACTACTTATTTAGTAGTAGAGTTACTCAATTGTAGCAATGAAATACTGAGTCAGTCCATTTAGGAATATTTGGAAGAAAATGCTTTTGGAATGAGAGTAACCAGAATTGTTATTTCCGAAGCAGGCATATGGGTTTGCACATACTGCTGTAGTTGTACCACGGAGCAGGAGGCTTGAAGTTTATTCTCTCACTGTTCTGGAGGCTAGAAGTCCATGATCAAAGCGTCAGCAGTGTTGTTTCTTCTGGAAGTGTCTCTTCTTGACTTGCCGCAGGCTGCCTTCTCCCGTGTCTTACGTGGTGGTTTCTCTGTGCCTGTCTGTGTCCTAATCTCTTCTCCTCCTCCTCCTCCTCCTTCTCCTTCTCCTTCTTTTTTAAGAGTTTTTGCCACAGGGCACGTGCACTTATCAGAGAGAGACAGAAAGAGGGAAAGTGAGAAATCACCCCCCCAAGGGGATGGCCACACTATAATCCCTTCTCCTCTCAGGATTTTGGGCACACGCATTCAATGTGATTTTGAAGCTGCCGGGTCTGGAACTTGGATTGCAGTTGGCCATGTAGGAGTCCAACACTTTAACCACTATGCCACCTGCTGGTGCCACCTAATCTCCTCTTTTAGGACCGAATGAATTGTACTAGACTAGGGCCCATGTATATGACCTCATTTTACCTTAATTACCTCTTTAAAGGCTGTCTCTCCACATACTGTCACATTCTCAGGACTTTAACATGTGAATTTGGGGGTACGAGGGTGGTATAATCTCATCTGGAATACTAAAATATATTAAGAAAGTATTGAAAATTAACTTTGTTTTTTCAAAAGCTAACTTAAGCCTTGCCTTGCAGCATAGTGGTTAGGCAGTGTGCAGTGGGCAGGATCCTCCCACGGCTCGACTCCTGGCCTGGGAGATTTAGAAAACATGTTGGGCCCATGTGGGAGTGTGCCCAGTATCCTGGCGAGAAGGAGGGAGGATGGGGGTTGCAGCGTGGTCATGTCCCACTGGTGAGTGCTTTTCTCTTTCTCTCTCAAGAGCACACGCACCCTCTGGCAATAAAAAAGTTAACTCATTAAAAGCTGAACTTAAATGTTATTCATGTGGTTTTTTTTGTTTGCTTTTTGTTTTTTAATTTTTTTTTTTTTTGGAGAGGTTTTCGCTATAGGGCGCGTGCGCTCACCAGACAGAGAGAGACAGAAAGACAGAAAGCGAGAAATTACCCCCCAGGTGGGATGGTCACACCGCAATCCCTTCTCCTCCATTCTCCTCTCGGGATCTTGGGCATGCATGCACACGCGCCCGGCGTGAGTTTTAAGCCACCGGGTTCGGGACACGAACCGCGGTCGATTACATGGGAGTCCAGCGACATAGCCATTACACTAACTGCTGGTTCCCAAATGTTATTCATGTTTAATAAATGGATTCATAGTTGATCACTTCATTTAAAAAGAAACATCCTGGGAACCAGCAGTTAGCGTAATGGCTATGTCGTTGGACTCCCACGTAGTCGACCGCGGTTCGCGTCTCGGACCCGGTGGCTTAAATCTCACGCTGGGCGCATGTGCGTGCGTGCCCAAGATCCCAAGAGGAGAATGGAGGAGAAGGGATTGCGGCGTGACCATCCCCCCGGGGGGTGATTTCTCGCTTTCTGTCTCTATGTCTCTGTCTGTCTGGCGAGCGCACGCGCCCTATAGCGAAAACCTCTCCAAAAAAAAAAAAAAAAGAAACATCCTAGGACAGCTGGAGCCCTGCTGGTTAAGGCAGCTGGGTCGCACATGGCCAACTGTGAGAGTCAAGTCCTGGACCCACTAACTTGAAAAACACACATGGCATGTGTGCGTGAGTGCCCAGAATCCCAAGAGGAGAATGGAGGAGAAGGGTTTGTGGCAAGGCCATCCCCCCTCGGGTGCTTTCTTACTTTCTCTCTTCTTGTCTCTCTCTCTGGAGAGTGCATACACTCAATAGCACTTTTTTTTTTTCTTTCGAGAGGTTTTCGCTATAGGGCGCATGTGCTCGCCAGAGAGACAGAGAGATAGAAAGCGAGAAATCACCCCCCAGGGGGGATGGCCACGCTGCAATCCTTTCTCCTCCATTCTCCTCTTGGGATCTTGGGTACGCACACACACGCGCCCGACGAGAGTTTACGCCCGCCGCCGGGTCCAGGACTTGAACCGCAGTCGACTACGTGGGAGTCCAGCAACATAGCCATTACGCTAACTCCTGGTCCTTCAATAGCACATTTTTAAAAAGAAAAAGAAACATGTTTGGGACCCATACTCAAAACTCTGCTCCTGCTATGTTTGAGAGCATCAGGCTAAAGCCTTGGGCTGATGGCACAGAGGCTGCAGAGACAGAGCGTAACTAGGTGTGGAAATGGAGCAGGAATAAACCAGATCAAATCTAAACTAAAGCGAGGTAGCACAGGGGTGGCCAGGGGATTGGCCAGATTGGCCTCTCTTATTCTTGTTTTATTTTTTAGTTTATTTATTTCTTCCATGAGACAGAGAGACAGCATCACCCACAGGGCCTTGGGTCTGACCCTCAGCCAGGATCACAGGTGTGTGGGTACCCAGTTCACTCAGGGAGGTCTCCAGGCACAAGCCCCACACCTTCCATGGTGGGTTAGCCATGGAGCTCCCCAGTTCACCGCTGTGCCATGCCCAGCTCCCTCCTCCTCCTGCTTTCTCCAGACTAGCACGACTCCATGGGGTGCCTCAGTGACACTCCTTGGCACAGAGGGAGGGAGGAAAAAATCAAACCCCACGGATGGGCTCAGACTGGGAAGGGCTGCAGACCGTCTGCAGCAGAGCACGGTGAGATGTTCTTGATAGCATCTGCTGACCGCCATGATGACTAGGTCCACACTCGCTAAACACAGTGGCAGGACCAGCTCCGCACTGCAGGTGGGATGCTGCTGCTCGGTAAACTTAGGCCACATGGGAAGCCCGTGTTCAATTCCTGGCCCCGCAATGAGCTGGGGACCACATGGACCTGTGGTCCCAGCTGCTCTGCAGACTGAGGCAAAAGGATAACAGCACAGTGAGCCCTATCTAAAACACCCCATGCACATACACACACATGCATGCACAACCCTAGTCTTTATTGGTACAGTTTGAATTCAAGAGACTTGACTTGAAGGAGGAAAGGTGATGGCACACCACACCTGCCCATCTATGACTAACCTCCAAGTTAAAAAGCAAACCCAACATTCACTCCACTGACTTACTGCACAGAAACCACACATAATCCTTTTTTATATAATTATTTAATTATATTTATTTATAACGTGACCAGAGAAAGACAGAGTGAGAGAGAGAGGTGGAAAGTGAAAAAACCAAGCCACCAGGTCTAGGACTCGAACCACCATCAGCAATGTGGGAGTCCAGTGCCCTTAACCACTGTACCATCTGCCAGCTCTGAAACTAAGCAAAATTCTTTTTTTTTTTTTTTTTTGGTAGAGGCTTTTGCTATAGGGCATGTGCACTCACCAGAAAGAGATAGAGAGAGACAGAGAGAGACAGAAAGCAAGAAATCACCCCCCCCAGGGGGGATGGCCATACAGCAATCCCTTCTCCTCCATTCTCCTCTCAGGATCTTGGGCACGCATGCACATGTGGCCAGCATGAGTTTAAGCCACCGGGTCCAGGACTTGAACCGTGGTCAACTACATGGGAGTCCAGCGACATAGCCATTACACCAACTGCTGGCCCCTGCATAATTCTAAAATATAGCTGACAAGCAGAGATTTATGTGCAGTCATGAGCCAGTGTGTGGATACTCCAGGGCCTCTGACAGACATCCATCCCCAGCAGAATGGAAAAGCTGGAAATGGCAGCCGGCGAAGCGCCCTGCAGGCCAACGTCAGGTGGGCAGAAGGCAATACCGCATTGCTGTGCTCTTCTAAGCAGTAAACGTCACATAAGCCCTGAGAATTCATACCCTCATGCTTACAGAAATCAGATTTTTAAATAGTCCGTAAAGACCATTTCTTGGTCAACTTTGAAGCCCCAAGCCCAGCTCAGAGCCTGACACAATGGAGTGTTCAGTATTTGTGTGTTAAATGAACAAGGAGCTCTGAAGATACACAGATAACGTGCCCATACTGAGCAGATACAAAGTGCCATATACATGGTCATTCACTTAATGTTCTTTGGTAGCTGGAAGGGGAGGGGAGAGTGGTACTCAATGCACATGGGCTGAAGTCACAGGCACTTTTTTTAGAGAGAGATTTTTACTATAGGGTGCATGTGCTTGCCAGAGAGACAGGGAGACAGAAAGTAAGAAATCACCCCCCAAGGGGACAGCCACGCCACAATCTTTTCTCCTCCATTTTCCTCTTGGGATCTTGAGCATTCGTGCACACACGCCTGGCATGAGTTTTAGTCACCAGGTCTGGGACTCAAACTGTGGTCAACTCAAACTGTGGGAGTCCAGTGGCATAACCACTATGCCATCTGCTGGGCCTGAGACCTTTTTTATAAGAGAGTTTTTTTTTTTTTTTTCTTTTTTCTAAGAGAGGTTTTTTTTGTTTTTTTTTTTTGAGAGGTTTTTGCTATAGGGCGCATGTGCTTGCCAGACAGAGAGAGACAGAGAGACAGAAAGTGAGAAGTCACCCCCCAGGGGGGATGGCCATGCCGCAATCCCTTCTCCTCCATTCTCCTCTCGGAATCTTGGGCACACACACACACACGCGCCCGGCGTGAGTTTTAAGCCACTGGGTCCGGGACGCAAACCGCGGTCGACTATGTGGGAGTCCAGCGACATAGCCATTACGCTAACTGTTGGTCCCTTAAGAGAGATTTTTGCTATTTGGTGTGGACACTAGCCAGAGAATGAGGGAGAAAGAAATCTCCCCCTGGGGGGGGGTGGCCTTGCCTCAATCCTTTTTCCTCTGTCCTCCTCTCGGGATTTTGGGTGCACAGGCACACATGCTTGGCCTGAGTTTTAAGTTGCCAGGTCCAGGACTCGAACTGTGGTCAACTACATGTGAGTCCAGCAATGTAACCATTATGCCATCTGCTGGTCTCTCACAGACTTTTTTTTAAGTGCACATTTATGGGGCCAGCAGGTAACATAGCAGTAAGGCACTGGACTCCCACAGACATGGAGGAAACTCAAGCCGAGCGTGTGTGCGGTCCAAAATCCTGAGAGGAGAATGGAGGAGTTGCAGTAGGCCATCCTCCCAGGAAGTGATTTCTCACTTTCTCTCTGACTCTCCGGTGAGCACATGCACCCTATAGCAAAAATCTCTCTTAAAATAAAAAGCACGTTTACATGTTCTCCAATTTGCGAGGATGCCGGTGACGCTCAGTGGCGATGTAGCTTAAGACCTGTGCATTAACGCACCATCGCAGCAGCCGTTCAGAAAACTTACCTGAATCCAGAAGTCTCCAACGGGCAGAGGGCGGATTCAAAAGGTGCCTGAGGCCCAGGAACAGTGAGCAGTGCCATCATGCCACTTGGTGGTGCTGGAGCCTCAGAGAAGACTGGGGTTCAGTTCCAGGGTGGACCTGTACATGCCGGTGCATGTGCCCTGATCCTGGTGGGCTGGGAAGGCTGGGGGAGCGTTACGGTGTGGGGCTCTGTTGAGGGTACTTTCTTCTCTGTCTCTCTCATAAAGGAAATAAAGAAACTTAAAGAAAAAAGGAGATATGGTATTCCAAACTTGATGCACTTCCACCCAGCTGTTCCCTCAGAACCATTTACTCTCCCTGGGCACAGATTCTAGGCCGGTTAGCGAGTAGGACTCCAGGCTCACGACAAAGCAGAAAAGAACCAGGAGTGAAAGGCCCTGTCTGGCTCAGGACAGGGGTGGGGCTGAGGGCTCAGAACCAGGTAGGCAGAGGAGGACACCAAGAAGGTCTCGGGAGCAACTGGGAAGGGCGGGAAGAGAAGGCAGTGCCAGCAGCAGTGCATGCAGCCTGAGGAATGAGACGGAATGCTGGGGCAGGTGAGCAGAGGGCAGAGGGAACTCACAGGTAAAGGACATCCAGGTCCAAGGAGCAGCCCAGGTGCAGGAGAGCAGCCATCTGCCCTGCAGGGCACCTTGCTCAGGCCGAGTGGCTGTGCAGGACAGCCTGCTCTGTTACCCCCTGGCCTCCTCGTCATGGTCCTCCATTTCCACAGGAGGCACAGGTGCATCTTTCTCCGCTGCCCAGTTCTGCCCACTGGGGTGTCCGACACAGCTACCGCCGAGGGGGAATCATTCAGTCACTAGATTTTATCTGTGCATGTACTATGTGCCAGGCACAGTGTTAGGGAAGGGGGTGCATTAGTGAATGAAATGATTCTGCCTGCCTGGGACTTAGATTCTAGATGTGGGGACACCCTAACAAGTGGTCATGAAGACATCTTAGTTTGTTACTGTGTTGTCAGACAAAAAAGTGCAACACTGGGTGACTATGTAGCAAGAGACCTGTGGACAGCGCTTACCTTTGGGGTTAGGGACACCTTAACCTACTCCTTCTAGAGAGACCTGTGATGCCCACACAAGCAGTTTGGCTAAGGCCTCACCGTTTTTGTTGTTGTTGTTTTGGTATTTGCCATAGGGCACATATGCTCGCTGAAGAGACAGAGAAAGTGACAAATCACTCTCGGGTGATGCTACACCACCTTCTCCTTCATCTCTCAGAATTTGGGGCATGCACACACATGGGCCCTGGGTGATTTTTCAAGCCACCAGACCCAGGACTCGAATTGCGGTCTGCCATGTGGGCGTCCAGCGCCTTAACCACCTTCTACAGGTCTCACCACCTCCCAACACCATTACTCTGGGGACTGAGCCTCCAGAACGTGTACCTTTTGGGGACAAAGCATATCCACACTACAATAGCCTTCTAAACCGAGGAATGTGCTAGAAGGAAAAGCGCAGGACGCAGTGTAGAGAAGGGTCACGCTCTGACCCAGCGGTTAGAGAAAGCCTCTCCGTAAGGGAGATTCCGAGCTAAGACATGCCAAGGTCCCATCACGCAGACACCACAGTTCCCAATCACGGGAGATAGCGGGGACGCATCTTTTGGAGTGGCCGGGTCTTCCCTGAGGTGCTCCGATAAGCCCCCAGTAGACCGGCTAGCTGTGGTCAGTCGTTTTCCAGGGCTTAGATAACCAACCCTGAACAGGGGCCCAGGGACAGGCTAGAACAGGGTTGCTGATGGCCTGAAGGCGGGGCCCCCAGGACCTCCGCGGCCTGCTCTTCCCTGGGGCATGCGGAGCGGGTTCCAGCAGCTGCGCTGTGGAGCGGGAAGTGGCAGCTGGACGCCAGTGCACGGGAGACCAGAAAGAGCAGTCTCCGAGTCGGTGCAAGACGAGACGCCGGTGCAAGTCCAGCCCCTTGCTGCGCGGACCAAGCTGCCGGGAGTTCGGCGCTTCGGGGCCGCGCCCGCCCGCGTGGAGGGAAACTCGTGCCTGCCCAGAGGACAGTTTCCTTCAGCCAGCTGGGCTCTCTGGCCCTAGACCCCCAAGTGTCACCCTGCGCGCTGCCCTCACACCTGCCACCAGGTGTCGCCCGGCTGACTGCGGCAGTTGGTCCCGCAGCCTCGAAGGCGGACGGGCGGGACCACACCTCCTCTCCGGGCTGGCTTTGGTCCCTGTGTTTTCCGTTGCTGAAGTTTAGTCAAGTCGCCAGGCTACCCCGATAGGTTCCCATGGAAACTACCACCTCCCGGAGAACAGGAGGAGGGGACAACTCGGGGCCCGCCCCGGACTCCGCC